GGATACTCACAGTTCCGTGCATTGTACGTCAAGAACTCGCTGAAACAGACCATTTCATTGGCTAATTCCTCACATCAACTAGATGTGTTTTAATCAGATAGCGTGAAAGCAGGCGTAAATCACATGTGATATCCGAGCATAAGAGAGATCATGTAGGATGGACCGACATATTTAGTCGGAGAGGTTAAGGTCACAGAGGTCAAATGTGTTAACTGGTGCTAATATGAGTTAACTGCTTACGGTTGGGTTATGGGGGAGGGGATTAGTGTTGAAACAACGTCAATGGCCGAAACATGAAACATTCGCTTTTTGGGAGGATTATATATCATCAATATGTGAAGATTCAGAATCCGGATATTAAAATATCTATCCAAGATGACCACCACGAAGAATTTGCTAGATTATCGCCCTGATTGTGATATATTTGACCATAAAATTGAGATAGATAATCAGTACTTTCGTCACATATCTAGACCGGGGTGCTAAGATATAGAACCAAGTAAACGTAGGAGTAGAGTGGAATGTTAAGATGATAGAACCTAGTAAACGTAGGAGTAGAGTGGAATGTTAAGATGATAGAACCGTAAACGTAGGAGTAGAGCGGAATGCTAAGATGATAGAACATACTACACGTAGGAGTAGAACGGAATGCTAAGATGATAGAACCTAGTAAACGTAGGAGTAGAGCGGAATGCTAAGATGATGGAACCGTAAACATAGGAGTAGAACGGAATGCTCAGATGATAGAACCAGAAAACGTAGGAGTAGAGTGGAATGCTAAGATGATAGAACCTAGTAAACGTAGGAGTAGAGTGGGATGTTAAGATGATAGAACCGTAAATGTAGGAGTAGAGCGGAATGCTAAGATGATAGAACATAGTACACGTAGGAGTAGAGCGGAATATTAAGATGATAGAACCTAGTAAACGTAGTAGTAGAACGGAATGCTAAGATGATAGAACCTAGTAAACGTAGTAGTAGAACGGAATGCTAAGATGATAGAACCTATAAACGTAAGAGTAGAGCGGAATATTAAGATGATAGAACCTAGTAAACGTAGTAGTAGAGCGGAATGCTAAGATGATGGAACCGTAAACATAGGAGTAGAACGGAATGCTCAGATGATGGAACCGTAAACATAGGAGTAGAACGGAATGCTCAGATGATAGAACCTAGTAAACGTAGGAGTAGAGTGGAATGTTAAGATGATAGAACCGTAAACTTAGGAGTAGAGCGGAATGCTATGATGATAGAACCAAGTAATCGTAGGAGTAGAGTGGGATGCTAAGATGATATAACCAAGTAAACGTAGGAGTAGAGCGGAATGCTAAGATGATGGAACCGTAAACATAGGAGTAGAACGGAATGCTCAGATGATAGAACCTAGAAAACGTAGGAATAGAGTGGAATGCTAAGATGATAGAACCAAGTAAACGTAGGAGTAGAGCGGAATGTTACGATGATAGAACCTAGTAAACGTAGGAGTAGACCGGGGTGCTAAGATGATAGAACCTAGAAAACGTAGTAGTAGAGCGGAATGTTAAGATGATAGAACCTAGTAATGTGATAGTCCCGAAATGACATAGTTTGTGTCGAGTGGACGTTAAACCCCATTTATCTCTCTCTCTTTCTCTCTCCATTTCCACGCCAAGACCTGAATTGGGGTCGGGCTGACGGACAGCAAATGCGACATAAAACATTCTCTAGTAGTTGACCACAAGGATTCCTTATACTTTCGTAAATTCCAATTTAATTCATTTCAAATCTGTAAAAACGTCGCCTCTAACAGGTTGTTTGAAAAGAGGCGGGTATTTCCACGGAGCGTTGATAATCGTTCGGCTTCGGCCGAATATGACCCCTATGAATATCCTAGAATTCCAGTAATAAAAACCTTGTATCATATTTTCTCATGGAAAAAAATAACCTACCCTGAAAGAGTAACCCTTTACAGGTTTAAAGAAAAACTATCAGAAAAATAATCCCAAATGCCCCTGTATATATTCAAAGCCGCCCCGACTTTCACACCGCATGTTATTCCGGGCATATAATATACCTCAAAGATCAAAGAGATTTACCGTTATAGGTTTATAAGTTCAAATATTCTCTCGTTAGCAAGTCAATAGTCGACGGACGGGTGAACGCATGGATATGGGCGAAGATAGTATACGCCCACACTAAACAATGGGTGTATGTATAGAAATGTCAAATGGCTGGGATTTAATGATTAATACTACTGTAGATAGTACTTATCAGTCATGATTTGGTTAACACCAAGGTTTTGTTGGGGATTTAACGATGTGATAATTATATCATTATTGGTAGGCGATCGATACTGTACAAATGTGCTACTCATATCCTAATCCCCAAAATCACTGTTTATTTCTATGCGACATTTAGACTCTGGTTGTCAAGAAACTGATTTTAATAAGTGGTTTGTATTTTTTGCTTGACAAAGAGGAGATAATCCTAGTCGAAACGTCACCCCGTATCCCCCCCCCCCCCCGCCATAAAAAAAAACAAAACAAAAACAAAAAAAAACAACAACAAAAATCAGTAATTGTATCAAGTTGAATTACTAAATGCCATTGAAATCGTTTAGGATACTGTGTTAAGTGAGCTTTCTGCAGGTTTTACATAGATAAAATATATTAAATACAGAGACGACCTTCACAGCGTAGCTGGGGAAACCTTCTCTGCAGGTCTGGCCGTACAACATTGCTCCACATCTCCCTTTGCAATGCAGTGATGAAACTGTATACAGTTTTGTGTTTACTGTATCACAAATCTATTAAATTACGTGTCGATTCCCCTGTTTCCTGTCAATAGATGTACCGGTCTCATCCCCAACAAACGACATTAAACGTCAACGAATCTACATACCCGTTATATAATAACAGAAGTCATGTTCATTAAAGATACATTATGGGAGATTAGATAAAGAGTTGGCAGTTCTCACTTTTATAGTTAAAACTAGATAATGTAAAGGGAATTTGCTGACAATATTAGTCAAATTGATCCACTCTGAACCGATAATTTGGCGATTGAATTTTCGGCCTAGCTTCGATCATTATTACTAAAATCGGTAAGATAAAAAACACTATCTGGATTATCCATTTTTGGATTAAATCATCAATGATCGTTGAGAAGCAAATTGGATTCAAATTCAGTGAAAATCCGACACATAAGATTTTATCGAGAATTTATTAAGGTATTTTCATGTTAATTAATAGTTTATATAACATTATAGGCCTAAAGAAAGACCTGCAATGGGCAGATTTAGCTATTGCATAATGTATGTTTAATGAAATATGTTATTATAATATATTCCAACAGGTATATCACTTAAAACGTTACCTAAGATGTTCTTCATTCAATCTTTAAATAATTACTGTGTAGTCTTTAGCTTGTAGGTGTGAAAATACCGTAACCATTATTACATGTTATTACATTAATTTGTCCAGATCGGATATTCTTTAAAGTAAGAGAGAAAGAGAGAGAGAGAGAGATGTGGTTTAACGTCCACTCGACACAAACAAGGTCATTTCGGGACTAACACATGGTTCAATTTTATTTCAATCATTCGCTTGCGCGTATGAATCTTTAGCAGTGGGAGGAAACCGGATTCTTTAAAGTCTTCGACTTACTGGTCAATTTAAATCAACACTAAATAAATGTTTGTATATATTTGCCTACCATTCACATACCTGTATCATTTGCTAGATAAAGACGAGAGTATCCTCGTGTAAACGTCGCTTAGTATTAAACTCAGTAATTGTGTATCCATAAAATTGTACCTTGTGTTAAATAAATAGAGGATGTTTGTCGTTTTAGAGTGAATAACATATTTTATTTCATCGAGAAGCAAGAAAACTTCACGAATGCGTAGCATGAGTGAAAATATAAACGTTTTCTTGCTTAGAGATGAAATAAAATATGTTATTCACGACAAAACGACAAATGTTCTATTTATTTTATGATTTTACAATCATTTTAGGTAAAAACAACTAGCCAGTGGAATGACACTTTTATTTCACTGATAAAACGCGGTATTCCACTACTGATCATAAAATAAATGTTGTTACCTTACCGTGAAAAGTTGGGCTTCTGATATCTTATATTTAAAACAAAATGGAAAATTTTAAAATTAGCACACGATTTGTGTGCCAGAATGTTTCGAGCGCCAGTTACATGAAGCGACTCGATAAACGAGACTAAAGATATCTCATGTTGGAGAATACTACCGTTGTAGAGGGGAAGAGCGAGACGACAAAGACTGTCATTCAATTCACTCTTCGCGTATTTCGCCGAACATAACTGATTAGAAATTACAGTAAAACAGAAACGATTGAATGTAAATCAGTTTATTCATATCACATTATTAAATGCGTTTCGACCCATTTGTGTCCATCTCTAGTGTCAAAGAATAGCGATTTAGCTCATTTAACTCAAACCCCTATTTGAAACAAGCAATTTCAATCTTTTAGTGTTTAATTACCACAAGGACAGTTGTCTAGACGTTCGGATGGGACGAAAAACCGACGTCCCATGTACACATTGGCGTGCTCGTGAAAGACCCTTGACAGTTGGAATTCGATACAAGAGTAGGCAGTAGTACCGCTGTCCGGGCAAAATGTCCCTCATAGCACACTGTATGGCGTATGCCCGTCTTCATTAGCCCGGTAGCAGCAGAACAGTAGGACGATAAACCCCATTTCATTTCACGAGTAATTATAACATTTTTTATTATCAAGAAACAAGAAAATAATTTTGAAGTAATAAAGAAAATAGCTGCCCTAGAATGTACTTAATCTTTGTAAATCTTATGACGAAAAAAAAAGTTTTGCATTCAATACAGAATAATTTATGTTATTGAGAACATAGAATATTTTATAAAGTCGGTGGCGGGAAGCAGCTGTTTGCAATCGAGTTGTATAGTTGTCGATTGATGATCAATATGCTCGCTGACTAACTCTCTTGTATTCCCCTGAATCACAATCCGCTTTAACTCACTGTCTAACATACTTTATACTTACTGGTGAAAAAACTTTATCAATGATCTCCTGTCATCAGTTAATTTAAGGAAGTATAAGCCCATTTCTTATTCAGTTTCTTCAACTTAAGTGCTTTTGACGGTGGGAAGAGGTATTATATGTATGCATAATACATCTCAGAATGTTTCCTGTGACTTGGACAAGCGGCTGAGAATATCCGATCTATGATTAAATGGTTATCGGGTAAGTCAATAAAATAATTTTCTTTATTAAACATACATTATGCAAGAGCTAAATCTGCCTATTGCGGGTCTTTCTTTTGGCCTGAAATGTTATCTAATTTATTAATTAGACATTACTTAACTAATCCAGACCATAATCAACTCTAGCTTGCGATATTTACTGGATTATGATCCGATCTGCTGCTCTACGCTCATTCATGATTAAATCACCTGGATAATCGAGACTATGTATTTTATCGTACCGACTTTAGTAATGATGATCGAGGCTAGGCCCAAAATTCAATCGCTAAATTCTCGGTTCAGAGTGGATCAATTTGACTGAAATTTTCAGCATAATCCCTTTACATTATGTAGATACACGTAGTGCGAACTGTCAGCTCGTTATCTAATATCCCATAATGTATCTTTAAATTCGGTTGAAAGATAAGCTCTCCCGTCGATTTTTTTCTACATTTTGCATGCATCATGATATCGATAATAATTTACCCATAATCTCGGATTACATCAATTTATTATCGCCATCAATAATAATTTTTCGTCGCCTATGAGATTTTTTATTAACAGTTATTTCCCAAGATGGTAAAATGATTTACCCCGGACTGCACTTAATCGAATGTTATTGTAGAAATGTTAAAAAAATCGATAATTATTCTATTCACAAATGTTTTTTTATCATTTTAATGATAGTAAACATTGTCATTAAACCATGACTTTAGTGTATTATGTCTAGGAGTAAGGTCTAATTAGGACCCTACGCGCAAGCGAAGTATTGAAAAAAATTTCAACTATGTGTTAGTCCCGAAATTACCTAGTTTGTGTTTCAAAACAAAGTATAATGTAAATCGGATTCTAGTTTTGAACTGCTATATTAAATCCTATTGCTGGTCTTTCTTTGGGCCTGAAATTTTATCTAATTTGACATTAATTAACTTATCAAGGCCATGGGGGGTGGATGGCTGAATGGTTAGCACGCACGCGTCGTATCATAAAGTCTGTCATTGAGTCAACTGGCGTGGTTTCGAATCCCCGGTTGTACGTGACAAGGAGTAGGGTCGCCTGTCCAACCTCGTGGGTTTTCTGCGGTTCCTCCGGTTTCCTCCCACTGCTAAAGACCCCTACGCGCAAGCGAATTATTGAAATAAAATTAAAGACCATATGTTAGTCCCGAAATGACCTAGTTTGTGTCGAGTGGACGTTAAACCCCCATTTCTCTCTCTCTCTCTCCTCAACGTTAGTAATAACGACCGAGTCTAGCCGACAATTGAATCGGTAATATCTCGGTTTAGAGTGAGGCAATTTGACTGGCATTTTCAGCATATTTCGTTTTCATTATATATTTATTTTTACTATTATACTATGGTATTTTAAAGCCGGTAAAATATAAATCCCGGGAACATATTGGAACATATTAAAGCCGAATAGGTGGCTGCCTATCGGAGGAATTAGTTCCTTGGGTCTTAATTACGAGCTGTTTCCTTGTGGGGAACGATTACTCCTCACTGTGGTGTAAATGATAGCAAAGGACGCTACTGGGTCAAATGTCATCTGATGTATCCCCTACGGAAAACCAATCAGACTGACCTACTCACATTTGCTGCGACTTTTTAATTAAGTATGCGTGATGTTTTCAATATAAAATATTGTAATCGTTGTCTAAATCCCCATAGACCCCAGACTTTTACATATAAAATGATGTTTAATACCCATTAACATTAGCTAAACCAATTTGTCCACTTTGGTTTATAGCTAACATCCCACCAAACTCTAATAAGATATTTCACAGAAAACATTAAAGGAGCTAAATCTCTATTCTTTGGCAGCTAGAAAGGGACACAAATGGGTCGCAACGCATATAGTAATGTAATATTATAAATGTATATAAACTGATTTACCTTCAATCGTTTCTGTTTTTACGTAATCAGTTATGTTCGGCGAAATACGCGAAGAGTCCAAATTGAATGACAGATTTTGGTGTCTGTTTTTTCCAGTCTCCACCAGAAGAATTCTCCTGTGGGATATGTTTAGCTTCGTTCATCGAGTCGCTTCATTACAAATGGCACTCGAAATTTTCATATTGTCTTAAATATTGGATATCAGAATCCCATCTGTTCACGGTAAAATAACAACATCAATGTTGATTTAAATTGACCAATAAGTTGTCTTTGCAATGTCGAAGACTGGATGTTATTGAGTTACAGGCTTGTCTCCTTTAAGTTCCGGGGATCACGGTGGTTCACTAGCCTGGAGGTCGGGTGTGCGATCCTTGCATTGGCCGAGAAAGTTCATTCAGATTTTCCGGCGTGGTTCCCCCTTGTCAGTGATGCAGGACGGAGGGCCCGACAAGGACAGCTGTCTAGTCGTTCGGATGGTACAAAAAACCGAGGTCCCGTGTACACATTGGCATGCACGTAAAAGATCCCTTGACAGTTGGAATTCGATATAAGAGTAGGCCGTAGTGCCGCTGTCCGGGCAAAATTTCCCTCATAGCACACTGTATGGCGTATGTCCGTCTTCATTAGTCTATTTCGGAGCAGAACAGCAGGACGTTAAACCCCATTTCATTTCTTTTGAGTTCCTTTAGCCATGCATCGCCTTGATTGGATTTACAATAGTCATGGTGGTTCTCCGGTCATTATTGTTATTATTAATGGCCTGGTATGTGTTAGATATTGATACTGCCAGTGTTAATTAAGTACCGAAAGAAATGATGTAAATAGGTCAGCAGTCAAACCAGAAAATGGATGTAACTGTTTGCTATTAATTAATGAAGCAGACGCGAGTATTATGGTTATCACACACGGATGCGTAGACTTAATTTCGAACAATCCATTGAAAGCACTTACAATACGTTTACAGTGAGTTTGGCAATATTTCTAAACCTTCATTAACTCTTCCCTCGAATCGTACAGTAATATCCAACGATAAAATGAAAGCAATTACAACATGTTTACAGTGAGTTTGGCAAGATTTGTAATCATTCATTAACTCTCTAATCGTATAGTAATTGTTCACATTATCCTCGAATTGACGTTTACAGATTGCATACATGGTCTAGGATTTAAAATAGCACTCCTAAACAAAGTTGTACTTTCATTTAATGACTAAATTAAAATAAGCGATCAAAGAGGGTTATCTGTTGATTGATATTAGTCTATTATCGTATTGAAATTCATGGAACAAAGGGATGATGTTTTCATTATATATTTATTTTTAAATGGGGTTTAACGTCCACTCGACACAAACTAGGTCATTTCGGAACTAACATTTTATTTCAATAATTCGCTTGCGCCTAGCAGTTATTAGCTATGGGAGGAAACTGTAGGACCCGGAGAAATCCCACAAAGTTGGACAGGTGACCCTACTCCGTGTCGCGTACAAGTCGTGAATCGAATCCCCGCCATTTAACTCAATGACAGGCCTTATGAACTAATGCGCACGCGTTAAACCTTTCGGCCACCCAACCCCCGGGGTTTTGTTAGATGTGCAAAAAACAAATGGCTAAAGCCGACCTTTTAACATAAAACAGAGTTCCCACCAACCACAATGAATTATCCTGTCAACAATAATAAGATTAATGTGTCGCGGGTTTAAGATGACAATCCGGTTACATTGTTTAATGCATTATGGCAACCGGGTACAAATGAGAACATAATGCAATAAAAGAAAAACAAAAATAAATAACGAGACTTTAAAATGTTTTTTTTTTCTTTTTTCTAAAAAATAATTGTTTCCTCGGTGCATATCCCATATTTTCTGAGTGTATGATATCTTTAATGACCCGGATAGTTAATATTATAGGCCTTTCATTTTATGATAACCTCACAATAGAACGTCAACCACTAAGCTGTTTTGTGATTAGTATGTTGTTATTTTAACATCTGCTTTCCCTGATGTGCTCATTCAATCGCTGCCTTATAGGACAATATTGGTGCCAGTCATTATCACATATGTGATAGAGCTGGTTAAACCGGGTTAAACACATTCCAAATAATAATTTTAACACGGAGATCATTGCTACGATAGCTGAGTAATACAGGTTTCCTGAATCGGAAGTGTCGAACGCCAAAGGAAAACACGAGTAATCCCTCTATATAATTGACTGATGTGACGAGTGATAACAGATACACGGCCGAATTTCTGCTCACTAATAATTCCTTCGAAGACCAAAAGTTGTTATGTGAGACTGTGAGAGGATATCTGACAATTCATAAAAAGAATTGACTGCCACTAGATAAGAGAACACGAAAGAAGAACAGAAAAAGTCCGTGCATTACCATGTTTTTATAAGATATAGAATGAATATAAACAAGGGAATGTGCGGACTGTTTCTATTTTTCTCGTGTTCTCTTATCTAATGACATTCAATTACTTTATTGAATTGTCAGGTATCCTCCTACCGTCCCATATAGCAACTTTTAAGTGAGCAGAAATTCGGCCGTGTATCTGTTATCACTCGCCACATCAGTCAATTATATAGAGGGATTACTCGTGTTTTCCTTTGGTGTTCGTCACTTCCGATTCAGGAAACCCGTATTACTCAGCTATCGTAGCAATGATCTCTGTGTTAAAATTATATTTGGAATGTGTTTAACCAGCTCTAGCTATCACATATGTGATGATGACTGGCACCAATATTGTCCCTTAAGCCTAGCTTACAATCCGCCGTACATGATACTACGGACAGTCTACGGAGGGATTTTAGTAAACAAATGCTGTGTGAGACTTACTCGTCACTTGCGTGTGTTCGGCATCGTAGAATGGTCGTAGAGACTTTTGGTCCCGCACATACTAAACGTAAACCCGGTTTCTTGCAGCTGGTCTGCTAGCTACCAATCCTAACAACGGCGGGTTGTGAGCTAGGCTTAACGTTTGCACAGCGACGCGTCTCAAATGAATGAATGAAAAGGTGCTTAAGGTCTTCCTTCATCAACCGAGCTAAAGAAGACGGACATGCCCCATGCGTTATCTATCCTATGTGGGGAATTTTTCTGGACGGTGGAG